CCACATTTACTGCCAATTTGCTGTCGCCTTTGAGCCGCCTTTGTGTTATTTACTAAAAACTTAAAGGACTCAATAAAACTGCCCTGGGATGCACGCGCTATCCCGACTGTTTTGATCCTATGCAAACAGGCAGATAAAAAGTTGCCCAGTATCTGACAAGAGCAGAAGCAGGTCGTCTGGCTCTGATTGTGAGAGTTTCCCACTTTCCCACTTTCCCAGTCTCCCACTTTTCCAGTTTGCGAGTTTGCGAGTTGCCGCCTGACCAAAAGGTCAGCATTCGTGTTTGCTTTGTAATTTGTTTATGCAAAATTGCCAGAGCAATTTCATAATGGGTCAAAAGAGAAATCAACTTTTGTCGAGAGTGCTTTAAAATGCATGACAACCACAGCCAGTAGCCGGGCCGGAAAATGCGCCTGATTGCTGCCAGGTTGTTGTCGTCGTCGGCTAAATGGACCGGATGTCGCAAACTAAAGTTGCCAGTTGTTGTTTTTTCCCTTACTAGGGGAACGTGAGTTTTTGTAAGCCTTGGTAGGAGTTCGAAAACTAAAGAACATACCATAACATTAATGGGACCTTTATAAATCCTTTATTCCCTTCAAATAAATTCAATAACAAAGCTTAAGCCATAATTTAAAATCAATCACTCATTGGTTACCTACTTATATTAAAATAGAGTTATAATAAGTAGGTACGTAAGTATATTTAAATTTCACCTTAAAGGGTATTAATGTTGCGGCTCTACTAAATCCATTTCCTTTTTAGTTTTTTGTTTGCAATCACACACACTCGCTGGAATGGAATGGTTGTGACCGCCATTTGTTGTTTGGACGCCGGACCGTCGGGTTGATTTGGCTTTTAGTTTGCTCTGTTCCCCCCGGGAATTTTCGCTTTCGCCTTTGTCCCGTAAAAAGAGTTTTCCATCCAAGCTGCTGGGTGCGAGTCCCAAGTTTTGCATAGTTTAAGGCTTTTAGTCTTACACATTCGAGTTGACAACTTTCTGGAGAATCGAGGGGCAAAAGATGCCGCTCGGTGTTAATATGATGAGCATTCTTTCTCCCCTTCTTTTTTCCCGCTGAGGTGATGGCAAATTGCATTCCCGTGGGATGTTTGCACGGAATCAATACAATATTGGGATCGACTCGGAAAAGTAATTGCAAATGTTTGCAAAATTGCTATTTGATGACGGAAGTGCAATGCATTTCCCGTCTGCGCAGTCTGCATTTTCCTTTTATAAGAGTGTGTTTTTGGGTGGGGAAGGCGTGGACTGGATTTCACCTTTGATGGGCGAGTCTGGGTGGGAATACATAAAGGGGGTGATGGAAGCAACAGTTGGCCTCGGATAAAGTGCAAAAGCGTCTATTTTTGTTTAATTTAAATATAAGGGAACTTTGCAAGTCATCAAATGTAACACTTTATGGAATATGAATAATAAAATTGAGCTTAATACTGATTAATTTATTAAATACAATAAATTTTATAATATTGTTAAGCAATCTAATATTGTACAAACATATTCACTATAATAATAAAATCTAAAATTATAATGTTTAGTCATCAATAAAATTGGTTCTTTAATAATTACTGCACTTAATAGAATTTGAAGCTCTTAATGCTCTTTTTATACTCTTATTTACATATAAATATCTTAAAAGGTTTTTGTTTGTTTTCCGCAGGCGTTGCTTTTTTCATTAAAAGGTGTCGTCCTGCAAACAAAATGAACTTAAATGTTCCGTAGTTGCCAGAAATATTTGTGCGTTTCTTTAATCATTTTATGTAGGGAGGGGAGTCGCATTGAAAGCTCCCGAGGTAAACCACTGGCTACATGTATCGAGTATGTGAAATGCGCGAATATATATTTAAGCGCATATTTATTTACCTGAATGGATGACCAACGATTACAAGACTCCCCGTTGAAGGGCCAGAACAAGCCGATGCATTTGCGTTTGCAGCTGCAAGTGCAACATTTCACTGTCACTTATGCATGTCCGCTTGTCATTTAAGCACAGCTTGACTCGCAATATATATATATTCGAATGTATATGGTCGACGCACGGATATATGTTGTTTTATTAACGACTGGCAGAGGGCTGAAGTTCCTGCTGTCTGCTGATGGGTCCAGTGAATTAAATTGTAAAGATTTCTCTTGCATTCGGTGGGTTTTTTGCATGTGGCACGGCCTCCCTTTTGATTTTTTGATACGCCTCAGCCCTGCCCCCTTTCGGAGCACCAATTTAAATTAATTCCCCAGCAGATTATCGCCATTACACCGACTTAATGTACACAGCAAATTAACGATGTGCCAAGACAATGCAATAAGTTGAAAGTCACTTTGGAATCCTTCGAATGCAATAAGTGGGAAATCGTGTGAGGCATTCCTTAAATTCCGCCATGGAAATTAACCCATTCATACCCAAATTTAAGTGATTGCAATAAAATAACTTTATAAAAACGCGGCTATAATTAACCCTTTAAGGTTGTTATAATAAATAAATTCGAATTTTGCATTTTATCTGCTTGTAAAATGTTCGACTTTAATTGGTAATGGTAAACAACAAGTGTTTAATGGCATCTTTCCCACGAGTTTATCATCTCTAGTTAACTAATTAGATTTGAGTTTCCGTCGTTTTCAAGGAGGGGCTTGCATCCATTATTAAATTTTGCAAATTCCCCAAATCTCTGTAGGAGAAAGGAAAAATTTAAGAATATTTAAGTATTCAACAAGTAAATACCTATTTTACATGGCTTCTTCTTCAGCTGCCTTGAAATTTCAAGCTTCGGTCAGCCAGGGCAAATAAATCTCACGGATTCAGCCCCTCCATTTAGCAGATACGTCGAAGCGCAGGATGCTTTCATTAAACTGACAACTCCGGAGAAACAAAGCGCGAAACTTGGCTGGCATTGCGTAATTGACTTGCTGCTGGACCCCAGAATCTCGATTCAGGAGGGAATGGCTGATGGGAGTGCTAAAAGTTACGTCCTTGTCATAGTTTTATTTGTGTCCGCCCCTCCAAGTCGAAAGATGCCTTCAACTTGTGGCTTCGTCGCGCTTCCTCCTTGACTTTTTATACCCTTGGTAGGAAGGCAGTTCATCCTATAACGTTTAAGCGGCTTGCAATAAAGGTTAGGTGATTTACCTATGCCTGGTTTGTGTTAAAAATCTTTTATAAAATACAGAGTTTTGTACTTTCAAGTACATGTTAAAAAAATGTATTTCGTAAATAAATATGGGTATTCATAGAAACGCAATGGTGTAAGATTATTTTGTACTACCTAAATACCATGCTGAAAACAACAGATACATTCAAACAATGTGGATTTAGAAGATAAATGAATAAAAGTTAATAAATGAATTTCAATTTTTAGGGTATCCACAATTCAAGCTGTGACTGTACAGCTGTGACTGTACAGCCCTCTTTCTACTTTTTTTTTTATCTATTTCCTGGACTTTTTTTCGGCGCTTACTTACGATAACTTTATGACGCTTATCGCTACAAATGTGCTCGTATCTGGGCGCTCGCTGCGTATCTCTGTATCTGTATCTTTATTTCGCAGCGAGTACATTCCGAGCGCGCCACATAAAAGTAAAGTGTAGCCAAGTTGATGCTGTGGGGGCTGGAAAACTGGGTGGATGGGTGGTGGGGAAGTTTCGGGGAGCAGGAAGCCAGCTTTACTCCTAAGTAACTTATGCCATAATTTCACTCGATCCCGCAGCCCGGCGAAGCCCAAAACGCTGGTCGCAAAAAGGAGTCGTCTGGCAAATATTATTTTTTATATTTATTCGACTTTTTTCGCCCTTGCTGCTTAATGTTTATTATGAATGTTACTCGTGAGCGTATTTAGTTAATTTTATTTCACACAAGAGAAGTCAGAAAAAGGCGACCGACTCCGGCGGAATGTTTGCCAGTCTTTTTTCTTCCCAGACTCGAGTCGAGTCGAGTCGAGTTGAGTCGAGTGCCGGCTGAAAATTAAGTTAACGCCATCAACGCATCGCCAGTGTCTCAGTTCGGGGCCAAGAGTGTGTATCTGAGGCCGGGCAAATTAGAAGCCAGTAAACATGGCGAAAAGGCAGCCGCTTATCTGCGTTAAGTAGATGAGAAAAGTTTGTGGCTCGGCGCGTTGATAACTTGAATTACAAGCGCGCATATTTCTTCCATGGGACTCCTCACGAGGTCCTTGCCAACCCCCAACCCCCAACCCCCACTCCCTCTATTAAGCACCCACTCCCGGAAAACCTCTCCCAATTGGTAGATAGACACACATTACCTCGGGCGAGCCGGGCATATGCATTAATTTGTTTATGCTCGCTGAGCTTTGGCTTTGTTAACAAGACGAACTTCTAAGCAGTGCTCAATCTGCTTTTATGCACCCCCTTACACTGAAAAAATATTTAATAACAACTGGGAAGAATTCCCCATCTTAAATGTATTATATTTATAAAGAACTGACTCAGTCACAACATAAAAAATATATCGTTCAATCAATGGGAAATAAGAACATTTCAGAATCCATTTTGGTTCCACAATTGGAATCTTGTGACTAGTGGCTTCAACCTTCTATAAATCTTACACCCTAAAATTAGTTCATATCGAAACCCAGGAAATTCGGATCCGATCTCTCAATTTTTTTTTCCAACAATTATTTGGACTTATTTTATTTGCGGGGATAGTGGCTCTTTTATTGCTCATTGGCTGGGGAGCAATGACGGGAGGGGGAGTCGCCAAAGGGAGCTGCATTAACTTGGCGACACTGTTGCCAAAATCTGCGCTGCTTAAATGCAAACTGCAAATGCTCAACTTTGTTGCACTGCAGCGCACTCGCAATGACCTTCGGATGAGGTGTGGCCCCCGGAACAGTGGGCGTGTCCCCGAAGCAGAGCAAACACGTTGCCAGCGACTTAATTAGATCTCGGTTTATGCCAGCGCGGCACTTTATGGCCGAGGTTTAAAGTGACCATTAGGTCGAACGACCCAGCGTTCCAAGCCCTCGAGATAGTGACTCGGTTGCCGGCTAAGTGGGGCGTTTAATGCTTCGAAAATATACTGAGAGTACAATGTTATGCAGTTGTTGGAGCTCCAGCTACGGAGTCTTGTTCTTCTGCAGGTAGAAAAATCGGTTGCCAGGACCTGGCAGGAAGACGGACTCCCGGAACTGCTCCAGATCGAAGTTGTTCGGCTCGTAGACGAAGGGGAGTGGCTTTGCCATCGAAGGACGAGGCGACTCCTTCGGCACCGACAAGGCCTTCTCCTCGGCCACCGCCGGTTGGTTCCATTTGGCGAGGAGCGCCCAGATGTCCCGCTCCTCCTCCACCTCCTTCTCCTCCACCACCTCGGCCACCTGCTCCTCGCTGGAGCTGGAGAACTTCGGCCTCGCCATCACGCACTCCTTGTCCCGGGCATAGTCCTCCTCGATCCGCTGGACGATCGGGTGGCGCCGCTCCTTGACCACCGCGCACAGGTTCTCGCCGTGGTGGAGGTTTTCGTGGATGTAGTTGTTGCGCCGCACGATCATGTCCACCTCGAACTCCTGGTCCAGGGACAGCTCGCACTCACGGAAGTCGGCATACAAGATCTGGGAACATGGATAAATAGCATCCAGAATTTTGGTGATCGATATGGTTAATTTATTTAAAATGTAGTATTTAAGTTGATAAATAATTTTTGATTTGTATTAAACTCATCTACACAGAAAATTGAAAAAATTAACAATTTCTTTGCCAGCCCTTAATACAAAATGCTAAAGCCAAAAAAGCCTTTGCTTCCCTATAATGTTCTCAAAAGTATTTAAATATCGTAAATGCTATAGGAAGCTTAATAATGTTTTTTACTTTTTTAAGTCCTTACAATAGCATACAATATCCTTAAAAAAACAACAATTTGGAAAATTTAACGTTACTACATTGATTATTTTACTATGTTCATTGAGGTAACTGTATCTATACTAACTAGGCAAAAAGTAACTACGGTTACTTGGGATGAATGACTGATAGGAGTAGTTTTAGATTAAACTTTTAACTTCAATAACTAAAAATCCTTGGCCTACTGTAGCTATCTTTTTGCCTTTCAAGTTCTGTTATACTTACTATAAGGTTATGCAAAATTCAATGATTAACAAGTGAATAGTAATCGAAACATTTTTTGAATATCATGCATTTATAACATTATAAAAAAACGAAATTGGATAGTTACCCTGTTGTTCTTCTCCAGAGACCTCAGTATCTGATTTCCCTGGGAGGGACCGATGTTGGTGGCCGCCATTTCGAGACTTATGAGTGGCGTGTGGCTGCGCAGCAGATTACCGATGTCCCGAGAAAAGGCGCCTTGTGCGGTATCGATTCCGGAGATGTTCAGGGCCATTACGTGCGGGGTGCCGATGAAGCTCGAGAAGAGCGAGTGGAGGGCTAACTCGTTCAAGGGGTTGTGGGCTAGACCCAAGTACTCCAGCACGCCCTCCTGGGATTCGCTTATGGCCTTACCGATGACCATCGATGAATTGGCGCCCAGTCGGTTGTACTCCAGCTGGATGATGCGGTACATTCTTGGTCGATTCAGCAAATAGGAGAGCGCCTCGCTGCAGTCATCCGTCATCTGGTCGTAGCCGAAGTCCACCTCTTCCAGGGAGTCCAAGGTCCGCAGGGCGCGGGCCAGGATGCGGAGCTTCTTCACATCCAGGCGCCCGTTCCGCAGCTTGAAGGTCTTCAGGTTCGGCAGACAGCGGAGTCCTCTACTCAAACGAACCATATCGCCGAAGGAGAACTTCATCACGCGACTGCGAAGATGAAAACCGAGGATTAATACTTCTAAACATGAGATTTCTATGTTAGTATAGCAATAACCTATGATATTCTTTCACGTCAGGAGGTCCCAGGAACTCCAACGTGAAGGACACCATGTTTTCGAAGAAGCGAACGAATCCCAGATCGATATGGTGGCAGTGGCTATCCGGATAATCGTACCGCTTGGTCCTCTCCAGCATCAGTTGCTTGTTGCGCTTGTCCGGCTTCGTGTCCTCGTCGTCGGACTTTGGCGGCTCAACCGGGATGCTGAACACATCCTGAATGGGCAGCTCCTTCTTCTTCTTTTTCTTCTTCTTGCCGGGTTCCGGGGTTAGTAGGTCGGCCAGCATCATCTGGCGCATCCTGCGGCGCTCCTCGCGAAGCTCCCTCTTCTTTTTGATGATATCCCTGGCCTGCTGGCGATTGGCGTTCCGCTGGTGCCGCGCATTCCGGCGGACGGTGTCCTCGTCCTCGCTGTGCGGGCGCCAGAACTGGATGGCCGCCCCACCGCTCGAGCTGGACTCCTCCTCCTCCTCCTCGCCGTCGAGGCTCTTTTCGGTGTCGGACTCGTCGCTGGAGACCTCCTCCTCGTCTGAGGACTCGGAGGTCACCTCGTCCTCCGGCTTGCTCTCGATGTACTTGAGGAAGGCGTATTCGGGCAGCGCCTGCAGCTTGCGCACGTGCATCGAGCTCACGCACTCCCACACCTTCTCCGCCAGCTGGGCGAGCCTGCTCTGCGGCCTCACGTTCACCGGACAGGACTCCACCTGCTCCACGAACTTGCGGCTCACGCCCTCCGACTTCCAGTCGAACTCGTTCCACCGCCTCAGGTGCAGCGTCTTGTCCAGCGTCTTGCTCAGCACCACCCGCCTCCAGAAGCGCTGGTCATCGATCATGTAGCACTCCCTGGAATTAATACAAAAATGCTATATTACGTCTTGTTCGAATTCAAAATGTAAATTCAGAAGGATATCTGCCTAAGGGGCTTTAAGCTCTTGTAAGGCAATAAAAGATATGTTTAATGTAGGTATTGATATGATTGAGAAACATGAAAGAAAGCTAGCAGGATTCTACTGTATATACTTTATGGGGTCTGAGGTGTCTCCTTCACTGTGGTGCAAGCTACTGATTGAAATTATAATACCCTTTGCTGTCCAAGGGTATAAAAAGCAATTATTTTAATCGGAATGTTGTTTAGGGTATTCAACTAATACAAAATATTTATAATTCTGTTTAAAAGTCTAGTGAATATACTGTAGTGTAATTCATGTAATGTAATATAATCCATAATAAGTAGGAAAAGTTCTAATGTAAGGTCATAAAAATATTAAGTGTATTAAGGGGGGGGTAAGGTTTTAAAAAATTTTTGTTTACATTTTTTTTCTGAATGATCAATATGTCGAGAACATTGTGTAAAAATTTTGAGTCAATTAAAGTCAAACTGACGGAGTTACAGCGTTTTAAACAACCGTATTTGGACGTATTTGTACGTATTTTCACGTATAAAAATACTTTGAATCGATTTTGCCGAAGACGTTATTTTGAAAGTCGATGAACATCAGAACTCAAAATCTACTGAACCGATCCTTTTCAAATTTTTAACACAAATTCTCAATATAAATACGCAGGTAATCAGGAAGAGTTTTTTATAATTTTTTATTTTTTTCTATTTTTAAAAAATAAATTAACAGCGATTTTTAAAGCTAAAATCGCACTTTTCACTTTCAAGTGCTCCCAAAAATAGACAAAAAATAAATTTAAAAAAAACTCTTCCTGATTACCTCGGGAAATTCATTATCTTTACAACGCATATCACATTTTATTTTTAAGATGATCCGTTAACGCCCTACAATGTTCACCGCAAAACAACTTTTTCTTAAGGCGCTTCGGAAGATTAACCGCCACAGGCTTATTTCTTAATATTTTTTAATGATTTTTTTCTAATACTCTTCAAAAGTTAAACAATAACATGTAATTAAGCTCAATAAAATAAACTTACTCATTTCGCCGCGAAAAAAGATCAAACATGGCCCTTTTTTGGCCTTTAAAACCTTACCCCCCCCTTAAATCAATAACATACATACATACCATATATAAATATTTAAACATTTCTAACGTCGTTGCTTTATACCATAATTTTGGTATAAATAAGGAGTTTTTTAATATTTAAGAGGTCCCAATAAACAGGCACACTTTCGGTCAGAACTAAATATGTTGTACACCATTTAATTATTTTACATATATTTTTTCCAAAAATATAAAATAGAGTAAATCTTTAGTAACACACCACTTTCGTGTATGTTACGTCTTCAAGTTTTTATACGATTACGTACATAGTTGACTTGGAAACTGAAATAAAAACGAAAAAGTTATACCTAATTCCACATTTCAACGCGATGCATCTCCGCCTTTTAACTTTTCCCAAAGGAATTAAGGTATAGATAAAACGTAATGAAAATGAAATTGAACAAAGTTTAGAATCGGGTAAGAGTTCAGTAGTTCATAATGGTCGACCTGGTGCAGATGATTCTTCGCGTTTCATATTGGAGCGGCCTTGCGGTGGGAGTGCTAAATTTCGAGGTGGATTGGAAAACTGGAAAAGCTTTTAAAACCCGACGAGCTACGATTTATATATGGATTCACAATCTGAGTTTAATCGCGATCTCATGTTTGCCAGGTCTTGGTAACAGCCGCAAGTCCCTGGGAAAACCCCTTGGCAATGCTCGACTTCTGCACCAGGAGTTCTTTCTGCTAATCGCCTTGGTGAGATACATTGTGATGATGGCAACTGTGTTGAGTCGATGGTGTCAGCAATCCCGGATCCTTAAGCTCTGGAACCAATTAATTCGAATGGCTTGCGAGAAACCCAACGTATTTCAATTATGTCGTCGAAAGATAATCATAAAATTTTTTCTCTCAGTTATCTATAACGTTGTGTACACCATTGTTGACATATTAGCTCACAGTACAAATTTCAGTTTTAGTCAAATTCTAAACTTGATTGTGTGGCACTCACTTAACTCTGCGTTTTGGATAGGCGTTGTGCAATATTATTTGGCCAATCTGCAAGTCCTTGGACTGTATGAAGTATTTCATTGGGACCTGCGAAAATTGATTGGGGAAGCTGAAACTTTGTGTCTAATTCGTAACCAACGCGGAGGTGTTTTTGCCACAAAATGCTGCAATTTGGCCGATCAACTGGATACATTGGCAAAAAGATTAACTAAGCTGAAAACTACAGTTCAAGAAATAACAGAGATTTTTCAAATACAAACCCTTTGCATGTGCACGTTTTATAGTATGTCTTTAATGGGCGCTGTATATTATATATTTTGTTCGATTTTGTATACCGTGGAAATTAATTCCACGTTCTACGCCGTTTTCTTGGTCGGCATTTCCACTGTTCTATTTTTTACGGACATTTTATTCACTTTGAATTTGAGATTTGCCATCCAGGATAAAGCTAAAGAAATAAATGAGATATTGGCAGAACGCACAATATTTGTTCAGGAATTGGATGTACGATTGGAAACTGTGGTGGGTTTACATTCGTTTGTTTTTTTTTTTTTGTAATTAATTCTCATTTTTTACAGTTTGAAAATTTTCAGCTGCAGATGGTCTGCAATCCAGTTGAATGCCAGGTGTTTGGCCTTTTTAAGTTGAAACGAAGTGCAATAATAGCCATGGTTAACGCAGTACTTATTCATGGTATGCTACTTATGCAATGGGAGCTTAGTCATAATTAAAGATATAATGTATTGAACTGTTACGAAGTAAAATAAATGTATGTGTATTAACAAATCGACAAATATTACCAATCAATACTATTTAATGTCATTTAAAAAACCCTTACCGTAGGATGACATTTACCATTAGTATTATCTTTATCTTTTATCTTTTTCCCCGTACTAAATATAATTATTGAAACAGCTCGTGCTCTTCGGAATTTATATTTCAGTTGTATTTCGTTGTTTTTAATTCCATGAGAATGATTTTTAATATGTGGAGTTTTTTAATAACCATTGAAACGAGAAAAAAATTTCATAAAAATCGGACTACTATATCATAAAGCCGTCATAGGAAATATCAAAAAATCTATATAGAAATAATGGAAATAAAATTATGACATCGTTGTTTTTCATTTTTGGAATATAGGGATTTCTAACGATTCTTGAATTACGAAATTAATTTGATCAAAATCGGACAACTGTATCATATAGCTGCCATATGAACAATAGTTGAAAATATGGTTAATCCGTAGAAAAAGCGTCATAGCTTCAATGTTGTTTGGCCTCTATGTTTTTGATTCGATAAATTATATTTGATAACTGCAAGGGTATACATATAAGCTTCGGCTTGTCGAAGCTAGCTTCCTTTCTTGTTTTAAAAACAGAAAACTTATGTTGTTATTGAAGCTAGCAAACTGCTAAATTTGCATTAGAAAAAAGGATTTAATAAGACTTTTCTTTGGGAACGGTTCTAATCTGTTATGAGCTACATTTTGAGGTCTTACTAAAATTTAATTGTTATAACATAAGACATACTAATGCTTAAAGAGACCTACCCCAGAGGTAACTCTACATCCAGAGCGTCATAGAAGACCCTCATTAGTTCCGGTTTCTCCAACAAAGTAGGGGATATGCCGCGGATGCCCAACTTGGCCAGACTCTTGACGCACAGGTTTTCCAAAGTGTCCAATCCGCCCTCAATAAAGGCTTCTGCGAAAATCTCTCGACCCCGCTCGCTATATAGGTTTAAGGTTTGGGGAGAGGGCCTAAAGAGTTCATAGGTAGCGAGCAGGAGGGGATCCCTTGGAGCCCGGAATTTCTGAGCATAGTGCGGCTGCACAGCTTCCTCGTCATCCTCGAAGTCCATTTGGATAATCTGTATTTGAGTTATAACTCTCTTTTGTATGCTGGGTGATGTTTTGATTTGAAGTTTATTTCTGGGAATGATCGATGGGTATTGTACTTTGTAGGGTATTGTACACGAAGTGGTAAAATTGATGCTGCGAGGTCAATTTTTTATTGTTAACTATATTCTTTGTAAGCATTTTTATGGTATTCCTTTCATAAAATTATCAGATTAATCTGTGTAACAACTGCCGTTTTCAGGAGAAGCAAATGTTTACGACGGCTAATTTGAGAAAACTCGCCTTGGATATTTTCCACTTAAGGCGCACTTTAAGCGCTTGCTAATATTTGCTGCTAATGTCTCACAACCACTTGCCAAGCTCTCGGAGCAAATTTAAATTAAGCTAACCTAATTGAGAGGCGGAGAACAGTTTCTTTTTGTGGCCAGAACCACTTCCTCCTTTCCCGCTCCCCCTCAGAGTTGAGCGCTTTGTTTTGATGGCGGAGCTGCCAGGGGCTTCACCTTGCCGGCTATTTTTCTACCTAATGAAATAAAAATAGATGTTGTTAGAGAGCAGCTCGCTGAGTGTGCTCGTCCTGTCCGAGTGCTTTTGTGCTCAGATCGGCGAGGACCTCAAGTCTGGGAGGAGGTTTCTACGGCACACGTATATGCAGATGCTCTTACCTCCTGAAACAAGGTTGCTGCACGGCGGGAAAACTATCGGAATATATAAGTAAGATTTAAATAAATCTAATATTTGGATAAGACTTGCTCGGAAAAGAGTTTTAAAGTGCAGGGAGCGACGTCAAGCAGAGTAAAAAAACTCTTTCAAATACAACGCAAAATTTTCTGGTCCTATGTTTTTGAGAAATTTTTGAGAATGTAATTTATAAAATTGGTTACATCGTAATATATACTTATATTCACAATAGGGACAATGATAGAAATTACTATTATCTGAAAATATTCTTGAATAATAATCTTTATTCTAGGTAAAACCTAAAGAACAACTTGTTTGACTTTCCGTGCTGTTTGAACCTATGAAATTCCTGGCTTTGTGAATTTTTCCAGGGCTGATTGTCTCTCCGGCAGAAGTGGGGTCCCTGGTCCCCAGCTCCCAGTACAAATTAAGTGCATGCCAGGACGAAATTCGCCTCTCGGCCCACTTCCTTGGGCACCACCAACCCACCCACCCACGTACTTCACCCCCTCCTGCAAACGACAACTGCATTGCTAAGTGGAACTTCGACCATGACTTTTGCTTTCGCTTCGTCAATCACCTTTTTATCTGGAAGGACATTACCAAGCCAGCTCAACTCGGATTCGGTCTTACCAGCTTGTCCTTCCTCGCATGTCCTTCCAGCTGGAGTGTATGTATGTGTAAGCCAAAATTTATTACAACCTTTGGGAATTCTTTTAAGTAGTTGCTCGATTCAAAATAATTTTCCATTTATCACTGTGATAACAAAACAGTTTTTCCCCTAGCCACAAAACCAGCGCGAAAATGGCAAAATAACATCAGCAGCAGCGAACATTATGAGTGGATGGGGTGGCTAAAGTAAAGAGTGCCACTGGCTGGTGGCCGGAATGGTGGGATAGGGGATGGGGGAACTTGGGGGCGTGGCAATGGCTTGGCCAAAATAAAGTGCTCTTTCGCAAATCTCGCTCCCGTTGTAGTCGTCCTGGGAGTTCAGCTGTAGCTGAAGCTGAAGACTTGCTGCGGTCGTTAGGGAGACCAATTTGCCTTGCCTTGCCTTGCCTTGCTGGACTGGCTCTAATGATAAATGCCGGGCAGCAGGTGATTTAAAATAATTTTGGCCAGCGTGAAAAGTATTTGTTGTTGGCGCTGTTGTTTCCAAATTTTTGGAATTTACGACCGGCCGTTCGTCTCGCGGCAAAGTTCTGCGGGTCGCCTCCGGGCGAAAAGGCCAGAAAGTTGGCGCGATTGCCCAACAGACATGTTTGCAACATTCGCCCAGGGGACGCTATAAACCGGAAATGGTGCTCCTTAAAAAAATTGGAACTTTCAGTCGCGACACGACGGCCTTCCCATTCCTCTTTCTGGTGTGGATGCCACAAAAGAGTTTAGCCGAAACTTTGCTTTTGCATTTGCCGCATTCCCTGGCCGTGTTCCCTTTTCTAAGGATTTTTGGCTTGTTGACTTTACAAAGCCGATGTCAGGGCCAGAAGTGGGCGGCAATGGCTGGTTGGGAAGGTCCAGGTGCAGGCGAATGTGGATGTGCAGGTGGCCACGTCCAGACGCCATGCATCTTTCATGGCTGCGGCTCGAAACTTTCATTTGTGTTCGACCAACTTTGATGAACTAGTCCAGCAATGCGGTCTGCACTGCGCAAATATTAGGTAAGGAGAGGAATGTTGAAATGGAATGAATATTTGGAATTGCTAGTTAAGGAGCCGCAGTAACTAAACCAGGCTTACTAAAAAAAATATTATATCAAAAGAAGAATACTTCTAATATTGTTGCTTGCTTGTAAGTTTTAAATTTTGAATTTATGTGTTGTTGATTAATATTTAAAATATTATAAATTAAATCTTACCAAAAACTGCAAAAGTAAACAAAAAATAATATACACAAAATAAATCTTTAATTTAGTTTAAAAGTGATTAAATTTTATTGTGGCTGCTCCAAATTAAATATTGACAAATTTGTGTGTATGCATGCCTTTGTTCGATTTCGAGTCATTGTGCTGGAGCTTAGAGAATGTCTTAAGCTCAGATAAGTAATGTAATTGAGACCTTCACCTCGTTCACCTTCCAATCTTCTATTTCAGTGTAGAGCAGAAATAACTTCCCTGCGAACTGCAGTTGCAAGTGCGAGAATTATGTACTCGGCCCATTGAGCAGCGCGTGTTGCATCATTAAGCACACAGGATTCGGGGTCCTGTAGAGGAAGGAGGAAGGCACTCGCTGGCCAGACCAGACGTAGCCGAGTGCATTTGCATAATTTACAAAGTTTCCTGGCATATTGGTCAAGTTTCCCACTTGGTTTCCCATTTTTCGGAGACTTTCCGCTGCATGTTTATGAAGTCATCAATTAAAGGGGCAGCACAAGCACAAGATGCATTGGCTTTAATGCCCCACTTCCTGCGAATCGTGCACGGTCCATTGTCCACTGATCTGGACCTCAAATATTTGATGAGGCTTAAGACAGCCGACTGCCGACTGCTGACTGCCGACTGCCGACTCGAAGGCCACTTCATCAAGTGATGATATTGGCTTAGAGCTGCATTGAGTCGAGTGCTCGATAAATAGCTCTCGACTCGTAGATGTAAGCGATGCCTTGTTGACGCAGCTCCTTGTCGGCCAGAACTCTTCATTTGGGCCATATTTCGCCGTGTTTAAGCAGCTTTCTATGCAGATTGCCTCGCCGGTCGGTGGGGAGACCCTTCGAACCCTTGAAGCCCCTTCGAACATAAAATCTAACGACATCGGAGCCGTTCGATACTGGCTGTCGGCAACATTTACATACTTTTCGGCAGGAATTAAAATTCAGCCAAAAAACAAAAGGACAAACGAAAAGAATCTATGGAAAATGGCAAAAGTTTAGCATAAACTTTTGGCGCTTTACATGCAAAACTTGCAATTGGCAGTGGCCGAAGCGAACATGTTTTCCATCCCGGGACTGCTGCTGCAACAAAGTTTCCGTAAGCCGATAGGGTTCTTTGTTTTAACGACTTAGTTTGTGGTCGGTCGAGGCTTTGGCCGCTTCCCCTGCGAAGCCGGTGAAGTTTCTTCCTCCCGATTCTCGCTTGTCACTTCAAATCCGATCTCTGACGAGGGCACGCCAAAATGTCCCCCATAAGGACAATTGAAAGGTAAGCCTGATTGGCAAAAGAAATGTTTTACTAAGTGAAGCACTTGTCTCGAAATTTGAATGGGATCAGTGGGTCCAGTGGCATTATTACTCACTCCCCTCAGAAATTTACATTTACGCACTACAAGTGGGAAAGTTAAAAAGAATTTTTTGCTGTTTGCTACCCTAATATTTGGATTAATACCTTTTTAACTTAAGACCATATTTAATTTTGATTTGTTTCTATTACTAAGAATTTCATATGGGAGGCGCCTAATTGTTTTAAATTGTTAAGTCAAAGTTTATGGGTTCCAACTAACCTTTGGCAACTTTTACAAGAACCGTCATTACAATGGTCAAAATGTAGAGCTCCCATTTTTACTGGTGACCGCAGACACACTGGGATAATTTCTTGTGGCTGAAACGGACCTGGCCACTTTTGATAACTAGCTAAAGGATAGCCCCTCCTGGCTAATGAGCGAACATGTTCCGCTTAAACGGGCCTTGTGGTTTCCTGGAAATGCAATGTTGTAGTTAATTTCGAGCGCCGCACACATTGTCCACCTCCGAAGACAGGCGCATACTCTATGTGCAAGCAAACAGAGTCGCATGTGCCGCATCTTTTTTTTCATCATCAAACCTGATGCAATATAATCTCCTTAGCCGCAACGCATTTGAAATGTCATGCTCGTTGTCCCCATTGCTGTTTTGTTCGGGATTCCACTGATGAGGGTCGCAGGATAGCAGCTGACGCACGCCGAGGACACAGAAGGGCACAACTGCGGTCAAAAAAGTAGGGTTGAGTACTAAATTTGCTCTTGGTTACATGACTTACAAAAAACAAGTCAAAATATAAATAAAATACATTTATGTACGATATCTAAAGATGATCCTAGCGTTTTTATATTTAAACCAACGGGAATAGCTTTTTTTAACTTTTATAGAAAATAAAGTATCATTAACCGGCAATTATAACATTATTAAAATATTATGATATTTACTTTTAATTAATACTTCTATGATCCCTGCATTGCTATATCCTCGCCTGTTCGTTCAGTTGCATCTGTGTGTGTAAGGTTGTGTGTTTGAGAGTAAGTGTGTGAGCGTAGTTGGTGCTTTCAATTAAAATTTCAACGTGCACGTAACAACTTTTATTGAAATTACGATTGCAGGCAGGTGCACACACAGCCAGGGAAACGGCGGGAGAAATGCGGAGAAAGGGGACAAAGAGACTGGGACACGCGTACACCCGCTTTCGCACACACA